GGAGCTTGCCTCGAAAAACTTTGCCGACGCCTTCATGTTTGGCACCGCCGACCTCTTCTGGGCGCCTGGCAACACGCAGCTTTTCATCCTCGCCGCTCCCAAGCAAGATTCCGCCCCGCTGCTGCCGGACAATCAGCTCTTCATCTTGCCCTTCTCCAAGTCCGCCGTCGCCGGTCAGCACTCGCCCGACAATACCCGCTTCGCCTTCTACCAGACGGACGACAGCTTGCACGTCTATCGCGGCGCAGACCAGACCGACCTCACCGCCATCACCCCAGAGAGCGACGTGTGGCAGCACATCAAGATCCCGCAGTCCTACCTCGCCGCCAACTGGCCGGTGCGCTACGCCGCCATCAGTGCAGATGGCAACCTCATCGCTGTGGCGGGGCGTCGCGGTTTGGCGCACTACTCGTCCGCTTCCGGCCGCTGGAAGCTGCACAAGAGCGTGGCTCAGGAGCAGTCGTTTGTCGTCCGCGGCGGCATGCAGTGGTTCCAGCACGTCCTCATTGCCGCGTGCGATGCAGGCGGAGAGTACCAGCTGCGTCTTTACTCGCGCGACACCGACCTCGACTCGGCGCTCCTCTTGGATCTGCAGGTGTTGCCCAGCCCCGTCGTCCTCACCTCGCTCTTCGACAACAGCCTCCTCGTCTACACCGCCGACAACACCTTTTACCACTTTCTCATCGATCTCACCCACGACCGCATCCGCCTGCGCCTGTGTGGATCCATCACGTTTGAAGGCGTGGTGGGCGAGCCGGCGCGCGTGCGCGGCATGAGCTGGATGATCCCAGAAGGTCAGCAGCGCCTCGGCGATCCGATCGACGATCTTACCGTCGCCACAATCATTTTCCTCATCGATGGTAAACTCGTCCTCCTACGTCCGCGCAAGCTCGGTGGCGCCAGATCGGGCACAGCATCCAAAATGCTGCAGGACTTTGACGATCCACGCCACGACGCCGATGGAACTTTCGACGATGATGACGACGAGGTGGCGTACGACATGCAGATCCTGGCAGACAAGATCGAGTACTACTGGACGCACTTGCAAGGCATCGGCACACTGGAAAATTCGCTCTGGGGTTACGACGGCAGTGGCATCAGACTGTGGCTTGATGCGCTGCGCATCCCGTCCTCGCAAGCCGACGACGAGGGCAGTGTGGATGACGACGACGACGACGAGCGTGATCAGCTGCCAGAGTACAAGACGATCGAATCGTCCGTGTCGATGCCGCTCGACTTTTACCCACTCTGCGTGCTGCTCGAAAAGGGCATCGTGCTTGGCGTCGAGTCCGAGGTGTCGCTGCGCAGGTCGCTCGACTTTGCGCTGTGGAGGACGTGCACCAACACGCACCTCTTCCTCCACCAGCTGCTTCGCAACTATCTCGAACGGGGTCTGTGCGACGACGCCGTCTTCTTTGCGGCGTCGTATCAGGATCTGGTGTACTTTGCGCATGCACTCGAGATCCTTCTTCACGCTGTGCTCGAGGACGAAGCGGATGCGGGACTTGGCGATGCGTCGTATCTGCGCAAAGCATCGGGCAGCATGCTCGAGAAGGAGCGCAGCTCCACCTCGTTGCTCGCCGACGTCGCCGAGGAGCAAGACGACGCAAGCGTGGTCAAGTCGAGCGCCAACGGCAACGGGTTGCGCGATGGCTCGGACGAAGAGGGTAACTCGCGGGCGCATCTGGATCTGCCCGTGCCCCGCCATGCCCGGTCGCGGTCGGCTTCGCCAGGTGCGAGCGGCACAGCGACACCGCGCGCGGTGCTGCCGCTCGTCGTCGAGTTCCTGGACCACTTCCCCGAGGCGCTCGAGGTGGTCGTCGGATGTGCGCGCAAGACCGAGGTGGCGCGATGGGCGTACCTGTTCGACGTGGTGGGTGCGCCGCGCGTGCTCTTCCAAAAGTGCATCCAGGCCGACCAGCTGCGCACCGCAGGCATGTATCTGCTCGTGCTGCACAACCTCGAGCCGCTCGAGGTGTCGATCGCGCATACCATCCAGCTGCTCAAGCTTGCGGCGCAGAAGCAAGACTGGTCCACGTGCCACGACCTGCTGCGCTTCCTGGCGAGCATCGATCCGGCCGGCGGCGCGCTGAGGCTCGCTGTGGACGAGGCGGGGATCCTGGGAGGCCACACCGTGTCGGCTGGCGTGACGGGGGAAGACAAGTCGGTGGAGCTGCAGCCGCCGCCAAGGCTGTTGCGCGCGGCATCGGCGCCGGCCGTATCGGCCGCGACTGCGCTTGAATCGATGCAGGAGGAGGACGAAGACGAAGATGCTGGCGTCGGCACCGATGTGCCGGGAGAGTCGGGGGAGGGAGAGGGCGACACGGTCGACGCAGTAGTGCGACCTGGGCTGCAGGGCATGCGGTCCAAGTCGGCGAGCATGAGCACGGACGCAGCGAGAAGTGTGCCGGACGTGGTGATCAACGGGCAGTCGCTCACGCCCGGGCTTGCGGCGATGGGTATTGGCGGTTCTCCGGCGGCCAAGCGGCAGTACGCGCACGGGATCGGCATGAGTCTGAGTCGCGTCGGCCTGCGCAGCTCGGACCGCATCTGGGACCCGACTGCCAGCACGAGCCCTACGTCTCCGCGCGCGAGCTTTGGCTCGCTGCCGCGCACGTCGCTCACAGACGAAGATGGCGGCCCCGATGCCTGAACGTCGCTCGGCAACTGTCATACGCACGCGTGCGATCGAGTCTATTGCGCTTGGGGGGCGTGCAATTACAGCATGGGCGGTTTGTGTCTCCAGGCGAGCCACTGGCCTACTATGATGAGGTCGAAGATGAGTGTGCCTCCGGAGCCGAGTAAGAAGGGCAGCGATTCCTGGAGGTAGGCCCTGGCGCCGGGAGATGCGGCGGCAGGGTTGGTGAGTACCGAGACCGAGTAGAGGAGGTTGCCCGAGAAGGCGGCGATGAAGAGGAGGATGGAGAGGCCGGCTACGGATCTGCGCATGTGGTTTTCCCAGATCTGTGGGATGCGCGAGGTGATGTAGAGCAATGCACATAGCCACGCGCTAATTCTGCCCACAAGCCTGTTCCAGGCCGCGCCGTCCTCGATGCGAAGCGCCCCAGCCAGTGCCGGATTGATGGCCGCAGCTGTCGACGAGGGTGGGAGGGACGAGATCATCATGATTCCCAGAAGGACCATGCCGATACTCCTGCGCATCGATGCTGGTGATTTGGTGCCGCTCTTCCTGCTTCCACCCCGAGCTGCGGATGTCGACGCCAAGTGATGCGAGCTCGAAGACTCGCTCCTCACCAACGCTCCCTTCCTCCTTCCATTCGCTGCCATCAGCGTATCCACGGACCTATACATGGCATCGGACGCTTCCGCCGGATCGCGCTTGCCCCTTTTCCTCGCCCCGTCCTTCTTGGCCCTGCCGGTGTGGTCTTCATCGCTCGAGTCTGCGTCCGATTGCTGGCCGAGCTGGTGATGCGACATGGCCAGCCGATCCAGCGGCTTCGGCGACGCATGTCTCGCAGTGCCCTCCGACGACCCCGCTGAGAACGGCGAGCCAGTGCCGTCGCGCTGCACTGCCGCCACCGGTGTGGCGGCGCCCGACGAGGTGACCGTCTCGAGTCGACTGGCCATGCGAACCATGTCCCTGCCCCGGGGCTCCGCCGGCCCGCTGCCGCCACTTGCCTCGGAGCTGACGGTTGCCAAGCTGTCAACGCTGTCCGCCATAGCCGGCGCCGTCTCGATGCCCGAGACCTCCTCGCTCTCGGTGTCGTCGTCGGTGCGCTCGTCTGCATCCCTGCCTTCGCGTGTCGGACTGAGCGCCGAGGGCACGAAATCTCCAGCGCCAGGTACGGCTTTCCTGCGCGCACTCATGGAGCGTGCCACGCGAGCGCGTCGACCCGCCGCGCCCGATGTCGCATCCGCCGCCGTGCTGGACGACGAGGGCACCGCCGCAGACAACTCGGCGCGCACGCTGTCGGGCCCGAGCTCGTTACTGTTGACCCTTGAGCGTGATCTTGACGGCGGCAAAGAGGTGTTTGGCGACTCGGATGCGCGCGACTTGGTGCGATGCGAGCGCAGACTGCCTGGCCTCGAGTAGGAAAAGTAGTCGTCGCCGTCTGCTTGTACGCGGTGCAGCATCGCCTCGCGCCTTCTCGCCGCCTCCTGAGCGAGCTGCGCCACGCTCATGGCTGCATTGGAAAGCGCGCGGTAGTTGGCCACGGCAGCCGTGCCAGGCACGGTATCTGTCGAGGCCGACCGACTCATTGGATCCACGTGCCGCGACCTTGATCTGGACGCCGCGTGTGGCCTGCTCGCCCGGGCCTCTGTGGCACTGATCTTGTCTGCATGGTCATGGCTGGCATGTGCATGTCTTTGCTGATGCAGCACTTGGGAGTGCGACAGGTTGCGTCTTTTACTCGAGCTGCGCAGCAGCGAGTGTTGGCGACTGGATCTGCCGGGCAGCAGTTCGCTGGTCTCTGCGAGCACCGAGTAGGGATTGTGCGCATAGGCGGTGAGGCTGTTGGTGCGCTGTGTGCGTGTCTTGCGCTGCTTGCGCGCCTTGCGCGCCTTGTTCCAGTAGTAGGTGAACTGGATCATGATGCACACATCGATGCAGCAAAAGTAGGTCGCCACTGCGATCTGAAAGGGAAGCTGCTGCGTAAGGATGCATCCGATGAGGTTGGTGGCATCGCCGAGCATCCACTGTGTAAGGAAGACGGGCGAGAGGCCGTCGACCGAGCCGCGGCGGTAGTTTTCGTAGAGCTGGGGCGACTGTGCGAAGAGCCAGATGGCAAAGGATGCCGTGCCAAAGAGGTCCGACACCGTCTGACGGTCGGGCGAGGCTGGCCAGCCCGCCATCGTGTCGCTTTGGGCAGTCGCCCTATGAGCGGTCGGAAATGGTCAGGACCCTGAGTGTTGAAAGTGACAAGAGTCTCGAGTGCGTGATTTATGTCGCCTGCATCGAGGTGGTGGTAGGTTGAGGATGCGCGCCTGTCCAGCGCCGATGTATAGTTGCCACCTCGACGGATGTATGCGTTCCTTATCTATCTAGCCACGACGAGAGGCGTGGATGCTGCCGAATCGCAATGTGATCGTGCTGATATGGCGAGTGGCCTTTCGCTGGCGATAAGAGCGCAGCCTGAGTGGAGAATCAAGATGCGATGCGCTGTCCTGGCCAGTTGTTCTATGGATTGATGAGTCTTGTGCAGTGTGTTGAATGTCTTTGTGGATGAGGATGAGGATGAGGGGATGGTGCGCGCAGTGTCGTGTGAGAGTGCAGGGGAGTTGCATGCGAGAGCGGCGAGCGCGGGTGTTGGATTGGACGCAGCCAGGCCGGGGTGCGTTGGGCCGACGACCCAAATGCCAACTCGCAGCCGGGAGAGGGTGACAAAGGCCAGGGTCTCTGAGCCAGGAACTGCCGGCTGGTGCGCAGTTTTTGCCGCGGCGCCTTATCAGCTGACGCGCTAAACGAGTCGCTGGGTGGTCGACAGCCAGCACAGACTTGCCCCAACCGATTCTCTGCATCCAAACCTCCACAGAGGCTCGAGGAGAAAATTCGTACGCTGCGGCTGGCCATCCCGATCGAAAGAAAGCCCGATGAAATCGCAGCCCAAACGATTTGCTGCCGATCCCAATCCTCACCACCACAGCCTGGCAACCATCGATCAACCCAGCTATGCTTGGCCTTAGCTTGGGCCCCCGCGCTGTGAACGCAACGACTATTCCCGATGCTACCATGATGTCTTGTTCGTCAGAATTTTTCGGTACTTCCCCCTTCTCTCAGGCTCTTGACGGGCTGCAGACGATGGACATGGCTGCCAATTCCAGGCGCTACACCTTAACTAAGCAGCAATAGGATGGCTCATACTCACACTTCTTAACCACTACAGTACCACGGAACGAAGTCGGCGGAAGGAAGGATGCGGGGCAACCGCATGCGCAGCCCAGCATGTTGCTGTCGATGCCGAAGCCCCACCACATCTCGGCGGAGTCGATACACCATGGCGCTGGCTGTCTTGCCTTGTTGCCAGATGAGCGGTGTTGATCCCCATGCGGAGTCTTCTTTGCGGAACGACGTTCGGCCGCGAACAGCCTGCTCGCCGAAAGCTGCAAGCGAGTTGGACCCTGGTTTTTCCCCATCTCGCCACGCGTCTGATCTTCGCGTCGGGGGCTGCCACGCGCCCTGTTGGCCGGTTGCGGAACACGATCATCCTGCGGGCCTTGAAATGATCTGCGCGCGCGAGAGAATGCCTTCCCCCGTGCAATCACAGCGCCATAATCGTGATACTACCCGCTCCCAGGCCGTTCGGAGATATGGGCTGTTTGCCAATTCTGATCGCTCGACAGGAACAGCGGCGAACACTCGGACCCAATGAGCAACCCCACCGAGGCTCGAGCGTAGGCGGACTGTGCGATGCCGACCACGCTCAAGTTCGACGTGGGGTGGAAGCTGCGGCGGGGATGTTGAGGAGCGCTTTGGTCGAGCTGGGATTTCAACCTCCGCTGGCGGGGTGAGCAATTCTTACAACTGTGCCTCACGCAGATCTTGAACACGCCCAAGGCGTCCGCCCAGCTGGTGCATCCGACTGCGGCTGACGCTCGACTTTTCTCACGCTCAGAAACCTTGGCTTGGGAGGCAATTCGTCGCCCAGCACTTGCTGTCGAGCGTGCCGATGCAACGACATGATCGGCAGTACAAGCAGTCGCCAGAGCCGGACGCGCTGCCACCATGCTGCGGCGACGACGCGCATCGTTGCCATGCTGCGACGGCCGGCTTGCAGACCGCATGGAAGCTTCGATCTCGGCTACCTTTTTTTTGGCCTGCCGAAGCGTGCAGCGTTCCATGGATGCGTCACCACCAGCGATGGCCAATGCAAGCGTGTGTGGACAACGCCAAGTGTCGCGAGCAATGCGGCTTGCATCTTGCATTCGTCGACACATGGTGTCTCAGCTTTCGCAAGGATGGGAGACTTTGGTTTTGGAGTGTGATGGGGTTGGTGCTGGCAAGAAGCCGGAGCGGGTCGCTTCTGCAGGCTACGATCGCTCGTGCGTGGTCAAAACGCAACAACCGCCGCAAGCTCGGATATCCTTTCCACCAGTCGGGCAGACGAAGCTCCGACGCGCTAAACAAGGTGAGTCCGCAAGCCAGGTGTCAGATGAGCGACTCCGCGTTGCGCACCCCCTCTCCGCCCTTGGCCGTGCTCGCTCTCACCCTCACCCAAGCAGGGGGCAAATTCAGGCCCCGCCAACTCAGCGCAATCTAAGCGCCCTCCAACTCCGTCCGTCCACTTGCGGCGCCGAAAAGCCCTTTTTACCCCCCCCCCCC